AAATGAGAGGCACAGGATTGCCTAAAGGTATTAATGAAATGATGCTATTGATAATGGCAATAAAGATAATGTTGATAATGACAGTGATTATAATGATAATGATAAGTATAATAATGATTATGATAATAAAGATAATGATATAATAATGTACTAATGAGGGCGAGAAACGATGAGAATCAGTTTCGGTGAAAAGGAAAAATATTTCAGGAGAGAGTCGGTGTCAGGGATAAAGATTCAAGAGGAGGGTTAGAGAGATAGGTGGGAAAATGGTACTGGGAGAGGGAGATGAAACAAGCAAACAAACAAAAAGTCAGAAAGAAAAAGATACAGAGAGTTTTGCGAGGAAAAAAAGAGAAAGCAAAACAGGGAGAGAAATAGAGCTAGAGAAAAAAAAAAAAAAAATTCTCAGCTCTGTCAGTACACTTAACACAAAACCAGGGAGTCTTTTCATTGCAAGCATTTTATCTGTAGATTTACATCGACAGATATCAAACATCACCAAAACGATTTCGTTCCTGGGCTTATGAATGATGCGTTCGAAGGGCGAACAACAGCACACGTAAGCAGGATGAGAAGTAGGTTTTCATAAGTATCTGTAGCGTTGCCTTATCTCGCCTGACCCCAAGGGAGAGGGTGTGGAGGGGTGCAAAGGCAGAGGGAGGGAGTGAAGGAGAGAGAGAAGGATTAGAGGGAAAGCGACAGAGAGAAGAGCGAGGCAGAGAAAAAGAGAGAGAAAGGGGGGGGGGGCGAGAGAGAAGAAAGAGGAAGGGGAAATATGGAGAAAGAGAGGGGGGGGAGGAGGAGAGAGATAAAACACTCTATCTTCTTATCAGCCGCCGCTCTGAGTAGACAATAGTACACCTGCACCAGTGATTCTTTTGCACCTTGGAGTACCCCCTTTAATATCTTTATCTGTTTTTAGTATATATGAATCATTTTTAACGAAAAGTGTGCAAGGAAGAAGAGAGAACGGCTTATCATCTATTCCAGCAAAGCTACAGCATCTGTGGACACACACACATACATGTATTTGCACACAGATGCGTGCACGCACTATATACATACATACACACATGCACGCACATACAAGTACAGTCACACATACACGTACATGCTCGCACATAGACATGTACACACATATACCCGCACACAATCACCCACACACACACGTACACGCATATATACTGTAAATGTATACATGCATACAATAATTACATGTACTCATAACACACATACACACTCATGGGTATGTAAATGTATCCCACACATCTACGTGTATACAGATACACGTATAGACATATGCAAAAGATTTCATGTGTACACGGACGCATACCAACATACACACATACACTCACAAGTGCACACATATACGCACACTCATTCATAGACATAAAGTGTACACACATACATACTCTCGTGCACTACTCATAACACATACACACACACACACAAATCTATATGTATACAGTTTATAAACATACACGTACACATGCAAGCACAGGAATTCTTGGCCATGATTCAAAGGCATGTAAACAGAGCCTTGAAGTAGGAAAGAGTGAGCCAGAGAACCGGAAGAGGTCAAGATATTTGCATATTTATACTGAGGGAACTGTGCAGCAAAGAGCCAGTCGCCCGAAAGGAGGCGAATTTGTTTGCGTTCTATGGCATCTCGATCAGTGTTTAGTTTGTTCCTCTTTATTGATCATCCCAATCGTTAGATTCTTTTCTCGGCCGATTGCCTTGACCGAAATCGGACCACAAGTGGAGAAAAAGGTTTAGTTAAGTAGACAGGTGAAACGGGGCCTGTAGAGTTCGAGTGTCTTAATGCTATTAGAGGCTGGCATCCACAACTGAGTTAACCGCGACCAATGCACTAGAGTTGCGAAGGATTGGCACAGTGTCAGTGGCACCTGCCCACGAGCTTGGCCCCGGGAAAGGCCCCGTAAAGCAGCGAGTTTGGAGGTCCAAGTGGCAGAGCTGGCAGGTTGCGAGAGAGCCTTGCGCTCTGCCCAGACGAAATAAAAGCCTGGCCACAAAGCAGGAGGCGAATGAAAGCGAAAGCAACGTTGAATCACGAGGAAATAGAAAGAGCAGTTTTTTAATGATAAAAATAAATGAAAAGAGGGGAAAAAAGGATGACAAAGAAGCTGAATGGGAGAGAAAGAGAAATTCAAGGAAAGAGAAACAAAGAAACACAACAGCACGCGTAAGGAAGATGAAAAGACGTTTCCATAAATATCTGTAGCGCTGCCTTATCTCGGCTGACGACAAGGAGGGCGTGCGGAGGCATGCAAAGGCAGGCAGAGGTGGGGAGAGAGGGAGGGAAGAAGAGAGAATGAGAGTGAGAGAAAGGGAGGAAGAGGGAAGAGATGGAGCGAAGAAGAGAGAGAGGGAGAGGGATGGAAAAGGCGAGAGAGAGAGGAGTTAAGAGAAAGAGACGGAAAGACACGCAGAGAAATGGTTGTAGAAGGAGAGAGATAGGGAATGTGAAAGAAAGTGAGAAAGAGAGATGGGGAGGGGGAGGAAGAGAGAGAAATAGGGTTAGAGTAGAGTGAGAGAGTCAAATAAGAAAAAGAGAGAGTGAAAGGGAAAGAAAGAGATATAAAAAGAGAGACTGGGGGAAGGGGAGAGAGTTAATTATACAGGGGGAGATAGCAAATTAGACAAAGATTAAGATAAGAACTTAGAGAGAGATGGGGAGAGGGGAAAGGGATAGATGGGGCGAAAGAGAGAGGACGAGATAGATAGTGGGGAGTGAAGGGAAGGAGGAAGAGAGGTGGAAGGGGAAGGAGAAATAGAGAGAAAGAATTAGGGAATGACAGAGAAAAAGGATGATAGGGGAAGGAAAGAGAGGGGGTAAGAAGTAGAGAGGGAAGGAGAGAGAGAGAATGAGATAGGCTTTATCTTTTTATCAGCTGACGCTCCGGGAAGACAACTCGCGCACCACACACACACACACTTAAACCCATGCAGACGCATACACAGATCAAGAAACATTCGCATATAGACAAACACATTCAAACACACAGACAAACGCACACAGGCATATAAACACGTGCACAGAGACAAAGAAACAGATAAACAGATACAAACACACCCACACAGAAACACACACAAACATAAATGTGAATTCAGTCAAAAGAGGGGTGTGATTTCTGTCTTTGTGAAGTGAATAGAAATTTTCCCTAAATGGAATGAGGTATGATATGTGTGTGTAAAGTGAGGTTTCCATTCTCCTATTTGGGTGAGTGACTGAAAGAGAGTGACTGAGTAACGGAGGGATTCAGGGGGAAAGATAGAGAGAGACTGACCGAGGGAGTGAAAGGCAGAGAGAGCAATTGAGCGATTGAGAAACTAAGAGAGAGTAATAGTTTAAGAGGCGGAGAGAGGAACTGAGTGAGAAAGAATTGAGTGAGAGAGAGAGGATATTGGACAGACAGACAGGGATATTAATCTATTAATAGAAAGAGTGAGAGTAATTGAGTATCTTGGAACTTATTCGTTCCTCGCTTTGTCTGCAGTGTACGAGGGCGCAGTACGAGCGGAATTACCGGGCGGGATTGCTTCCAAGAAGAAATCAGTGCGACTCCTTGCTTAAGGGGACACTCAGGTGCTCTGCCTGTCTCCTGTGTCATATAGGAAATAAGTGGCTCTCTTAACTACCCAAAACAGAAAAGAATAAAACTAATAAATAAGTAAATGCAGAAACCTTCATGTTTCGTTAACGATGTTGGGCAAGACAGGCCAGGCTAGATAAAAAAGAGGGCATTACTCGCTTTGGGGGTAGGCTAATGCGTTCATATTGTTCCCCAACCGGCACGATGGCTACCTCGGACCGCAACGCCCGCCTCGTAAGTAGCCCTTGGCGTAGCTTCGGGGAGCGCCGGCCACTCGGCTCAGTATATGTGGATTCTGAGGGAGGTGGGGGGAGAGGGAGGAAGGGGGAGAGGGGCTCGGAGAGAGGAAATAAGCGAACGTACCGAGTGGAAAAGACATAATACTCACACATCGTGACAATAATTAGGATCATAACATCCGTTCAGGATTACATCTCCGTCGCGGTTGAACAGCGACGTGCGACAGGAAATCTTTGCGAAGTCATCTTGTCCAGCAGAGCTACGGTAGCTGTGGACAATGAAGTTCTTATTCCGTGATGGGTCTGGGATAAAATTCCACCTGAAATGGTTGCCTGTCTAATCAAGGTGGCCGGGCTGTGCAGGCGTTGGCTCGTTCGGGAGGTTTGGCCAGTGTCGGCGACGTAGATTATTTTCTTTATTATTTTGTCAAGGACTGTTTCACTTTATTCATCAATTTCTGACTTGATTCCTAATTAATTTCACTCTTTAGCTTTGTCATTGTCTGTCTCTCACTTTACCCTCCTCTTTCTGTCACTTCCATACTCTGACCTTTTCTCATTCTCTTATATTCTCTCTCTCTCCCTCTCTTTTTTTTTCATTCCCTCTTACATTCTCTCCCTCTCATAAC